TTGAGCTGTTGTTCAGCATCTTAGCTGTAGAGGGCAGTGTCACTGGCCCTCATATGTGGGATCCGAACCGGGGCCCTCTGGCATCCCAAGCGAATTCTTAACCATCGCGCCACTCGGCCGGCCCCAAAAGCTCTTTTTACCACTGTTTCTAGTAAGAAAAAGTGTTGATTCTGAGATCCTTTAATGGAATGTGTTGCAGTTTGAAGGAGGGTCAGCAGAGGGCGCCAAGGGTACATTCATCTGCCCTATATAGGTGGGTTTTTCCCCTGAGAATTGTCAACCACCAAAATTTTGGGCTATCATTTGGAAACTGATTTTTATCTGAGTTGTTTGCTGTTGTATCCCCATTGCCTAGCACAGTGCTTGACATACAGTAGGCCCTTGATAAACAGTTGTTCAATTCATATGTATTATTATAAATAATTTCTGTAATACTTTTCCTTGGGGCTCTAAAAATTCAAGAACAAGAGGGATAATGACACGGGTGTCTTGTTCAAGGCAGTGGATTAATTTGAACCATGGCTCAATATTTTACTTTTTGAATTTGGTATTTTTAAAGTTATAGTATTTACAAAGTCATTTAGTCATTAATGACCAGTTTTGCCTTCTTCATCTTTGGATAGTTAATAATTGGTGTCTGACTGGTCTTCTGACAAAATGTTACATAGTGTTTTCTTTTCCTCCGAATTCTCTGTTGGATTTCTAATAGTAAATGATACTATAATGAGCCTCAGAGATATACATTAGTAGAGAGATCTGCCAAAATGGGGAACATTTCCTTTGAACATTTCTTTTTTTTTCTTTTAGCTGAGCCATCCTGTCACCTGTTGGCAGCTCAGCGGCTGCTCAGCTCGGGCTGGGAATTGAACCACTGTTGCTCAGAGCTCAAACTCTTGAGCGAGCTCTTAACCAACTGAGCCACTCGACTGGCCCTGAACATTATTTTTGAACCTCACCCATGTGACGCGCTCTTCCTCTTCCTTGGAGTTGTTTTGTGGGGCAGTTTAAGGACGGGAGCACCGTGGGGAAGATAGAGGAATGGGTTTCAACATTTGAAGACTTAAGACCACCTTGTTCCAATTTAATTTTAGAGGAGCATCTTCTACTATTTTGATGTAGTTCATATTTAAAAAAATATTTTAAGGACAATTGGCTATGTGAAATAGCAAAAGAATGTACTTTGCGCCGCTTATGGCAGCTTGGTTAAAAGCCAGTTGTGATATTCTCTGGAGTGCTGTGAACCTCCAGAAATTTAAAATGGCATAGTGGGAACATTGTGGAAAGAAGCCGTTGAATATTCACAGTTGTCCACAAAATCTATTATGCTTGTAACAGACTACCATATGAGAGGAATGGGAACCCACTGATAGTTTTACAGCCTCTAAATTAACATAGGTGAACATCACTGCATTTTAACCTCATATCATGCAACAATGATACATGACTCTTTATTCAGATGTGCTGATTTCTTTTTTCATAGTGCAAATTATGAAGTATTTATTTAAATAGTCTAATGCTTTTACATCCTTGCTAATATTTCCCTAACATAAATATTATATATACTAAAATAATTATAGTGCTTTTGGTACATGGCTTATAGTTTTACACCCCACTTTTTAATGGAAAAAAAAAGAAAATGTCAAAACACAAATGGTAAACTTGAACCAGAACTTGGGACTGATTTTTCTAAAATTCAAAATATTGCTTCTTTCCTTGATTATTTTGTTATGTGTTGCACATTTTTATTTGTTGTTAGTGTACTGCTTTGGAACAAAAACTGAAAAAATTGACTGAAGATTTGAGTTGCCAGCGACAAAATGCAGAAAGTGCCCGATGTTCTCTGGAACAGAAAATCAAGGAAAAAGAAAAGGAGTTTCAAGAGGTAAGGTGAATGGATTCATGAGGAATTTGTCCGGAAGGCTCTTGGGGACCTTTCAGAGTTTTATTATTTGAAAAGAAGAGCTGGTGATCATTATTTGGGATGGTCTACCAGACCAGAAACGCTCTGTGAGGAAACGGTCACTATATTTTTCCATCACACTTTTCCATCTTTTCCGTTTTTGATCAGAGAAGGGACTTAGTAGTCAGAATGTTTTTGTTTTTGTTTTTAATCCATGTTTTCCCATTTGTTTGAGATGCGATACCAAGTAGGAAGAGATCATATTTCTTCTTCCTTCTGTTGTGAAGGAAATTGGATTCACTCTCTGGCTGTTTTTAAAGCCTGTGGGTTGGCCAATACATGAGAACATTAGTTGGTGTGACGGGGACGATGTTGGCAGACAAGTTAGGGCCGAGGATGCTTTCCTGTAGGTATCGCTGCCAGTGTCAGGTGAGTTAGCCTGGAAGTGTGTCACACAGACTGAGGGTCTCTAGTCTTCCAGTAAGAGCGACTACAGATGTTAACCTGGTACCCTTATGTGGTTATCAGAGCTCATTGGTGGCACGTGCTTTCTGTCACTCTCATTGTAAGTGGTGTATGGTGTTTGAAATGTTAAGCCCCTGTTTTGAGTGTTGGATTTCTCAGCCAAATTGTGACAGTGGCAGCTCAGCTCTACTCTCTTTTGCCCCTGGAGATGGCAAAACAGATGATTGACGTAAGAGCAGGGGTGAGGTGTAGACAGGCCCGCCTCCACGTAGTCAACTGGAGCACTCCCTCCCCTAGCCTTCCGAGACCTGGATTTCATCACCGGGACCACTACTGAGACTGATTCGTTAAGCGCATGGTCTGCTTGGGTCCGTGTTGTCTCCTGGGGTGTCGCTATAGCATTTCCTGTAGGATCCTTGCGACTCACCCTGGAATCTGCCTGTTCGCCACGGTCAGCCTGATGCATGTGTCTTGCTTTTTAGGAGCTCTCCCGTCAACAGCGCTCCTTCCAAACACTGGACCAAGAGTGCACGCAGATGAAAGCCAGGCTCACACAGGAGTTACAGCAAGCCAAGAACACGCACAATATCCTGCAGGCGGAACTGGATAAAGTAGGGCGCTAACTTCCTCTCTCCCCTCCGTAAACCCCTCTTTCCTTATATAAGTGATTTCCCCACCACAGATGACATAGGATACTTTTAAGGAAAACATGCTCTAGCTTCTTTTCCCTTACTTATCAAAAAGGAGAGCAAGCTGAACTTTTCTGGGTCTGGGTTCTCTCATTTAGAGAAAGAGCAGAGTGAGTGAGGTCCTCAGATCTGAAAGTCTCTGATGTTCTTGTGGTTCTTGGTCATGTCACTGAGCAAGAACTATCCCAAGTAATTTATGCCCCCAAATTGTCAAAGCACTGAAAATTATAATCTGTTTACTTCTCTAACACTCAACTTCAAAAATGATCTCATCCAGTTTTATGCTTCACACACTGTATGCTGATGACTCCCATATTTACATCTGCAGCCCGGATGTCTGTTCTGAACTTGAGTCTCATGGGTGTGTACCTGGTACTTACACTCGAATGTGTAGCAGGCTTCTCACACTTAAGCCATGTTAACAATGGAACTCCAGCTACTTTTTTCAAGCTTGCTCCTCTCTTAGTCTTTCCCATCCCAGTAAATAACAGTTCTGTTCTTCGCATGGCTCAGGCCAAAAGCCCGGTGTCTTCTTCATCTCTTCTTTTTCTCTCACACCTCAAAGTTGTCCATTAAAACTCCGCCACCTCTATTTGTTCACGTGCACGCGCCTATATGTGTATCTGTATATGTGTGTGCTTATGTATATTTGTGTGTGTGTGTGTGCATTATGTATATATTTAAACTTGTTGGTGTTGAAACACATCTTCATAGAATAAATGTCTAACAATAAGTTATTATCAGGCATGCTCTCTTACAGCCATTGTCTAGGTCAGGATGGAATGTTGTCAGCCACCCCAGAAACCCTTCATGTGCTGCATGCCTCCCTAAGAACAAACCTGACTTTTACATCTATCTGTATTTTATGTTGAATGCCTGCTTTCACCATCTCTGCTGCTGTATCAGGCCTAAGGTGACATCATCTCCCACTGGGGTTACCTTTCTAGCCTCCTCACCGGTCTCCCTGCTCTGCACTTCTTCCTCAGTCTGTTTTTGGCCAGCGGCCCGAGTGAGTCTTTTAACGTCTAGGTCAGATCTTGTCACTCCTCAGCTCAAAACTGCAGTCTCTGTCCCTCTTTCAGTGAGAGTCGCAACCAAAGTACATGGCATCGATTCTTTTTTTTAATTACAGAAGAGTAAAGAGTACCTGATTATTTAAAAAGTAAAGAACAAAAAACTGAAACTTGGCCTTATTTTCTCTTTGTAGGTCACAACAGTCAAGCACCAGCTAGAAAAGAATTTGGAAGCGTTGAAGCAAAAGTTCTGCAGAACCGAACATGCATTACAGGCGAGTGAGACCAAGGAAAATGAGCTGAGGAGAAGCAGTGAGGTACGTGAGAGGCAGAGATGAGTAATTATCAACTTCTGTTTAGGACGAAGTAAGAGGGTCAGAGAGAATTTCTATACCGTTTTCCAGTAACTTATCATGATTGTATATAGTTTTCTTTTTTATTTGCCAGAAGTACTACAAAGTATTTTGTATATAACCTATGACATAGGACATAGTGCTGCTGCTTTTTTTTTTTTTTACTATCCCAATATAATTACTAACGTACAAGAAGGGAAGGAAACAAGGGATTTTCTAGAAACAAAATTGGTGACAGGATGTATAATGTAAATCCCTTTTCCAAGGGTTGGCTTTTGAGCCATCAAATATTAAAAACTGTGTAGAAAGTCATAGATTTAAATGAACAAAAGTTATGACAGATGAAGGGTTTCTAGATTTCATCTTCTTGTAAAAACATCAAGTAATTGTAAATCACGTCACCCTGGCTTCAACAGTAGCTTTAGCGTTGAGCATCTGCAAGGATGCTTAATGGTGTTTTTGTAGATTCATGTTTTTTATGTGAAATGGTGGATGAGGTGCCCCCAGTGGTGTGGATATAAGGAATAACCTCGTGTTGCTTCTTGATAGGATTTTATCCATACTTACTTTAATTTGGCTTCTCTCTGAATTTATTTAGTGTCCTGGAATTTATTTTTAGAAGGCCTAATTAAGAACCATGTAGGGACACGTAATAGACTGAAACAATGTGAACAGAGCCATAAATCAGTGTTGTAATTCTGCGCAGAAGCACAGCAGAATAGAAGTTTCTGCTCCATCAAATGTCACAGGAAAGAAAAATTTCCACTTATTCTTTGATTATGTTGCAGTCACTTTTTTAGACTGTAAAGATGTTTAATTCTCTGTAAAGAACAGTTACGCAGGTAGGGAAAGTCTGAATGCATTTGTCCCCCCAGCTTTGAAGAGTGTAGCACACTTGTAAAGTCTGAACATCTGTCAGTAGCAGAGAAAGGGACTGGTAATACAGCTCGGCCCAGAGGGGTAATGCTGCTGGGGTGGGAGGGCACAGCTCCCGCAACCCAAGTGGAAGAAAACTTCACATCAGATGATGGTTTCATCAGCGAATGCTTTCAAATGGAAGTGTTTTGTTTCAGCAAAACAAATGTTTGCCTTTTGGCCAGTGGGGACCAACCAACAGATGCTTCTGCTAACATTGCCACCGGCAGACTGGCACCGAGCTGTTCCCTCTGTGAGCTTCCCTTTCAGCCAGGAACTCTCCCGTGACTCCCCTGGCTGCCTGGTGGAAGCATTTTGTAAAAGCAATCGTCTGGTTAAGAGGGTTCAAACACTTTTAAAACTGTCTGCTTGGCCAAGGCGCAGTCGTGGGCTGGATGTTGTCTTGTAGGTGTTTCAGAAGACGTGTCCACCCCCACAGGGTCTGGCGTGTCAGCAGTGGAGCTGTCCATGGTGAACTCTCGCTTGGACAGTTAAATGCCTACCGTGTTGCTCTTATATTTCATTGATTTCTGTGTCCAATGAGGGCATTTGTGTAGAAGTGCCCAGCATAGGGCCAGGGCATTCATTTAGTATCTGTGTGTGTGTGTGTGTGTGTGTGTGTGTGTGTGTGTGTGTCTGTCTGTCTGTCTGTGTGTGTCTTCTTTTAAGGACGATAGCTGGCTCTTGCATTTTGAATTGGGATTAGGATCAGAAAAGTGATATATCCAGTTAGAGTGGTGGCCTAACTTAATGGTACAGTGTTGGTGGCTTTAGAATGAGTGAGATCTGAGATTGCATCGCTTTTCTGCCAACCACTTGCTGTGTGACCTTGGGACCATGACTTGCCCTTTCTGAGTCTGACCTTCCTCATCTGCATATGGGGAATAATAATACCTCTCCCTTTCCAAAGCCGCATTAATGATTAAATAAAAAACCTGCATGAATGATTAAACCAAATATTGAATGTAAAGTGCTTAGACTTGGGCACAGCGCGGAAGGGCTCTGTGAATTATTACAGCCCACCTGCTCGCTGCCTCGGTTCTCACAACTGTTTGCTGTCACCCATAGGCACAGACAATGATGAGCAGGGGACAGTGCATTTGAGATTTTTCACATTTTAAAAATTGTGCCTGTTCTAGTCTATCACTCCGGGTATCTTTCTGTATCTAATTATACGTACGTACAAACAAGCTTAGCACGCTGATAGGTTTTGGATGCCGAAATAATGTGACAGTTGTACTGAAATTCTCCCTGATCGTGTGTAGCAAACTAACATGCCGCTCACAATGAGAAATGATCAGTAGTGGAAGCCTGATTTCATGGCCCAATCAAGGGGAAAGTTAACATTTAGTATTAAAGTGAATGGAGGTTTTAGATAAAGTGCTTGTCCAACATCCAGTGCCAGCCTCATAGCTTTGGGGTTAGGTCATAATATTCCATCATTCGACAGCCAAGATGAGGGAACACTCGCCCGGGGACCTTCCCGGGCATGTGGGCCTCTAAGGAGCTTGGTCTGGCAGGAAGAATAATGAGGTGGGAGATGGATCTTTTGCATCCACCCCTTCCTTATTCACGATATAGACTTTGCCTCGGTAAGGGACGTGTTAAGCTTTGTTCATGGATGGGATCATGAAATACCACACAGTAACTGAAGTTTGTTTGTCTGGCCCCAGGAAATGATGGCCCCTTGCTGCGCCTAAACCAAACTTGATCTGGGTGGAAGAGCTTGCTAAGCCCCAGTGCTGCCTTGTGGCTGTGGGGATTTCTGTTGCGTTTTTCCAGACTCGTGCCCAATTTTGCAAATCACGTGAGGCTGTAAGCGATGCATAGGAGAATGTATCCTTGCGCGCTTAAAGCATTGTTGATGATGAGCTACCCAATCAAGTCTTAAGTGGCGGTAGCCTCGCAGCAAACTAAGTGCTGATGGATGGCAGCCTACAGCTCCATTTTCAGATGTTCATTTTCTAAATTCTGGCCTTTTAAAATTCTTGGGTTGGTTATAGATCTAGCATTAGAAGCCTACTGGGTCCCAGGATTGGCAGATTTTTGCTTCATTAGAAACAAACATTTACGGAGCTAATGCCAGAATAGAGAAAGATGTGTTCATCTTTCCATTTAACTTACCGTTCATTTAAATGTCTCCATTTATGGATAGAGGCGGACGGAGACCAACAGACATATAAACAGAAGTTGCCCCTTCCCTCTCCAGGGTGCACCCAGCTTTGCCCATGCTGTCTTCTCAGCTTTCTTGTCACGCCTCCGGAGGTAGATGCCGTCTGATTTGGTAGATTTTTTTTTTAGGGTAAGGAAATCTTTTATAAGTTGCAAAGTAAGAATGCTAAGTCAACCCAGGAGGTGAAATTCCAGTTACCTTCTTATGTTGAGCTGACCTTAGCACTGATCACGCAGACCTGGCTATTGTTACATTTTGGAAAGACATACTAATAATGCCCCATTCCCCTTGTTAAAGTGCTTTAAGGTATTTCTCCTTTCACATCTGCAGTCTCATTCGATGGTGATTATTCTGAGCTCGAAGAGCAAACCAGCGATTACCGTCCATAGCTTAATGATGCTAGTGTAAGTCGGTAGCGTTGTTGCATCTTAATGATCCTTCTTTGCAGAACTGAACACTGACTCGTGTGCATGTCAGCCTCTCGGTCTTGAGATCAGGTGGAGTGGCCCTGTTGTTGAGCTTGTGGAAGAGAGGCAGGATTAGGACAAAGGAGATAGGAATATAACTACCACTTGTTCTGATGATGAAATGAACATATATACAGGAACACAGCAGCTGCCAGCAAGTTTTCAAGTACTTTCCACTTGCCAGATTCTCCCTCTTCTTGAATTTGGCTTTGTTACCTTGGTACCCATCTGCTGGTAGTAACCAGACTGATAATTGAAGGCAGCTTTCCAGCACGGCACTGCCAGGGCCATCTGTTTAATAACGGTGCACGGGGTTTTGGAGGATGGGTCTTAATTGTTTCTTTAAGATTCAAAAATTTCCCGTACTTCTCAGAGGGGTCATTTTTAAGTGTGGTTTTAAAAATGTTAGCCTTATGAATCCCACCTCCCCCTGACAAGGATGTGAGACGCTTTTTTGTGTCAGTTTGTAATGATATATATCAATTCACCATGGTCCAGAGGGTGGCGTATAATATAGGCTGAGGTACTTATAAAATCACTGAAGGTTGAAAAACAGGTTGAGGAAATAGAGGATTTATGATATTTATTGTGTGGTTAATCAGCACTGGTGTGTTTATTTGGCATGCAAATATTGCTTGGTTTTAAGATTCAGAAAAACACACAGGTCTCACTAGATGATACAATGGGACTGCATGTGTCTCTGCTACTTTATTTGCACTTCGATGCATGGGTACTTCATTTAATCAGGTGCCCAAATAACCTGTTTTCACTGAAAGGTCAGATTCCCCCATCTAGAATGAATTCTTCCTTCCCTGCGCCAGCCCTCCGATTTCCCACAATGCACTCAACCTCTCTTTAGTACAATAGTTAGCACATCCTTGTGTGTGTATCACATTTCTCCCACTGGGGGGTACCTGCCCCGAAGTCAGAGACTCTCTTACTTATATTTACCTCTTTGATAATGCCCATTCCAGCATCTTGCCCATTGTAGATTTCCTTGATAAACATTTATTGAAGGTAATTTTACCCATAAAGACACCCCCATAACAGTGAACCTTAGGATGGTTTTACAGTGAAAAGTAAAAATGTTTCACATGAATGTTTTTGGTTCCTTAGCACATTTTTGCAAAGATAGTATCTGATTATTCAGGTGCGATAGGAACTTGGAGCTTGTGTAAATAGGATTTTCCTTATGAGCCTAACTCTTTAACAAGCTTAGGAACAACCAGAAAGTTGAAAGAAATATATTTCTCGAAGGAAAAAGGTTATCAAATTTGGGTTTTGTGCTTTTGTTTTAACTTCTATTCCTAAAATCATTTGGTTTTAAGTAAGAATGTGTAATTTTCTTAAGTACTCAAAGGGGAAGTGTGATTCCTCCCCTGTTTTTATACACAAAACAGTTTCACTAGGCCTTTCTGAGGCAGAAGTCATCATTTGCTTGAGCCTTTGTTTTGATTATAACCAAGTAAATGTGTGCTTTAGGAAATGAAGAAGGAAAACAGCTGCCTTAAAAGTCAGACGGAGCAAAGTGCCAGAGAAGTCTGCCACCTGCAGGAGGAACTGAAGAAGGCCAAACAGTGTCTGAGTCAGAGCCAGAGCTTTGCAGAAGAGATGAGGGGTACGTGAACTTAGGGTTTTAGTGTTACTTCTCTCAGCTTATGTTTCCAGGAGGGAGGATGGATGGCATTAGAAACGTCTTTGAATTTTTCCGTGTATTCTCCCAGAAAGATGTTTGCAGCCGATGTGGAGAAAGTTTTCCCTCCTTTTTAGTTTCCAGAGTGAGAGTTGGACATTTGTTTTTTATTGGAACACATTGAGTCCCCAGATGCCTGGTTTTCAGCACTTTGAAACTAGAAGGGTAAATATTTTCCACAATTTACAAAAGTAAATTGTCAATGCTGTCTCTCGCCCCAGAGTGCTATTCTGTGTGTCTCAAGTGTGTTAGTTACATCCTGACAGCTCGGCTCCTCGCTCATTACCATCCCCCTATAATGGAAAATCCCTATATTAAATGCATGTTATCCCAGCCCTGAACAACAATTGGTTTTTGATGACTTACTTGACTGACTGATTTTATTTCCTTACGTTAAAGCCAAGGAATGATGCTATACAGACCACATGAATCCACTGTTAGTTTCATGTTTATTTGGACGTACAGTATGTCTTTTATTTATAGTTAGCTTCTCACCTGGGGTATTTGTACATCTAGGATTTCTCTTAACCTAACCTGTGGCCTGTGTGTCACACTTCTCTGTGACTATTTTTTGTTGTTGTTATTAAATTCCACTCCTCCAGACAACTTTCAATTTTTGCACAGCTGTAGGTAGAAATGTCAATCTTTCTTGAAGGAAAACCATAGGACAAGGAAGGATTCAGGCGTTTTTCAGTGTTGGTCCCCAGTGTCATCATTTGAGGGCCTCATAAGCAGAGGTGATTGATAGTTCTTGAGGCCTACGGAGAGCCATCGCTCAGTAAGTAGACTGAGCTTAGTGGGTTACAAATGGGGCCCGTTTTCTACTTATTGCAACATTTGCATTTAGAGTACATACTGCCTTTATCATCTATTATTGAGGTTCTCAACTTTTATTCTCCCTCCACACACTTGAGGACTATGAAACCTCCATCACTGGTGAATGAAAGCACTGAGGTTATTCTCAGTGAGGTGGGACCAAGTGGGGAGAGGTGAGTTACTGGGCAGAAAACAAGGTGGTGCTAGAGTTTGAAAAAGCTTCCAGATGATTCTCACAGTCATAGGCACCACCCTTACTGAGTGAGGGGCTGGGATGAGGGTGATGGTGTTCCTCAGTTATATATAGGCCTCAAGGGTTACTGATATAGGATCTTTTACTGTTTTGTACTTTAGCTCAGCCCTGCGGGTTTTTGGTTAAAATGGTTCTGGGAAATCAGAATTACTTTTTTGGGAAATCAGAATTATTTCCATTTCAGTACTGCCTTTGCCACAGTTTTCTCTCTTTGAATAAGTATTTCAAAAAGAGATGAAAAATACAGGCATTCCTCAGAGACATTGCAGATTCCGTTCCAGACCATTGCAGTAGAGTGAGTTATCGCACTAAAGTGAGTTGTAATCTTTTTGCTGGTGGAAACCTCTTGCCTTCAGTTTGTAAAACCTGCAACATACACATATATGTAAACACATACAAATAAAAAGAAGAAAAGAAAGTTTCAAGTGTTTAGGAAACTACTCCTTTGGTATTTTATACAACAACATTTTATTAAGCTGCTTTGAAAGAAGATGAACTAATGTATTACCATCCCTAAAATGACCCTATTTATTATTGTCTTCATATAAGCTTAGATAATTGTGGTCTACTTTGCAAGAGTATCCAAGCAACAATGTCAATTTTTACAGGACTTGAGAGGCTGTTTGTTTGGATTGTTTTTGTTTGTTTGTTTGTTTTTGAGTTGAGAATTCTTATAGAATAAATATTTAAAACACTGACAATGTATTTTTTTTTTTAATTTTTTTACTTTTAATAGCTAAGAATACCTTTCAGGAAACCATGTTAAGAGATCTTCAAGAAAAGATAAATCAGCAAGAGAATTCCTTGACTTTACAGAAACTGAAGCTTGCCATAGCTGATCTGGAAAAGCAACGAGATTGTTCTCAAGACCTTTTGAAGAAAAGGGAACATCACATTGAACAACTTAGTGAAAAGTTAAGCAAAACACAGAAAGAGTCTGAAGCTTTGTTGAGTGCTTTGGAGTTAAAAAAGAAAGAATATGAAGAACTGAAAGAAGAGAAAACTCTGTTTTCTCATTGGAAGAGTGAAAATGAACAACTTTTAAAGCAGGTGGAATCAGAAAAGGAAAGCTTGCAGAGTAAGATCAATCACTTGGAAACTTGTCTTAAGACACAACAAATAAAAAACAACGAATATACTGAGCGAGTAAGACTACTGGAGGTGGAAAGAGAAAACCTAAATGTCGAGATGAGAAACCTTCACAATGTGATTGACAGCAGGACCGTGGAGGCAGAGACACAGAAACAAGCTTACATACAACTACAGCAGGAAGCTGAGTTCTCAGATCAGAAGTACAAGAAGGAAATAGAAAACATGGGTTTGAGAGTTTCTGAGCTCACAGGACAAGTTGAAGATCTAGGACACAAGCTTCAAATACTATCAAGTGAAATAACAGACAAAGACCAGCGTTACCAAGACTTGCGTGCTGAATATGAGAGCCTCAAGGATCTGCAAAAATCCAGTGATTCTTTGGTGACAAATGAGGCTCTGCACAGAAGCCTTTTGGCTTTTGAGCAGCAGTCTGCAATGAATAATTCCTTTGCAAATATAATTGCCGGACAAGGAAGCCTGCCTTCAGAAAGGAGCGAGTGCCATGTAGACAGGGACCAAAGTCCAAAAACTTCAGCCACCTTACAAAACAGAGTCGTTTCTCTTGAATTTTCATTAGCATCTCAAAAGCAGATGAACTCAGATCTGCAAAAGCAGTGTGAAGAGCTGGTGCAAATCAGAGGAGAAATAGAAGAAAATCTCGTCAAAGCAGAACAGGTGCATCAAAGTTTTATGACTGAAACAAGCCAACACATTAGTAAGTTACAGGAAGACACTTCTGTTCATCAGAACGTCGTTGCTGAAACTTTGGTTGCCCTGGAGAACAAGGAAAGAGAGCTGCAACTTTTAAATGAAAAATTAGAAACTGAGGAAGCAGAGATTCAGGAATTAAAAAAGAGCAACCATTTACTTCAGGAATCTCTAAAGGAGCTACAACTTTTGTCTGAAACTCTGAGCTCAGAGAAAAAGGAAATGAGTTCCATCCTTTCTCTAAATAAAAAAGACATTGAAGAGCTGACCCGAGAGAATGGAACGCTCAAGGAAATTAACGCAACCTTAAATCAAGAGAAGATAGACTTGCTCCAAAAAACTGAGAGTTTTTCAGAGTGTATTGCTGAAAGGGAAGAAAGTATTTCAGATTTATCTAATCAGTACAAGCAAGAAAAACTTACTTTACTGCAAAGATGCGAAGAAACAGGAAAGGCATTTGAAGATCTTAGTGAAAAATATAAAGCAGTGCAAGAAAAGAGCTCTAAATTAGAATGCTTGCTAAATGAATGCACTAGTGTTTGTGAAAACAGAACAAATGACTTGGAACAGCTAGAGGAAACATTTGCCAGGGAACGCCAAGAATTTGTAACAAAATTAGCTTCAGCTGAAGAAAGAAACCAGAATCTAGTACAAGAGTTGGGGGCACTGCAGCAAGATCTGAGATCTGAGATTACAGATATTCAGACCAATTGCAAGAGCGAGACAGATGGTTTGAAGCAAGAAATTGTGATTTTAAAGGAAGAACACAGCAAGATGCTAAAGGAAGTTAATGCCTTATTACAAGAGAATGAGCATCTGATGCAGTTAACGAAGACAAAACGTGAGCATCAGAATCTGGAATTGGAACCGGTTAGTGACTCTGTGAAAGAAAGAGAGAGTGAGATAAATAAATGTCATGGTCAGCTTCCGATGGCTCTTGAAGATAAAGATACTTCTCTAGACGGTTATAATGCACAATTGGAACAATTAGAAGCTAAGATAGGAAATATGGAATTAAAACTTCAGGAAAGTGAGGAGGAGAAGGAGTGCCTACAGCACGAGTTACAGACAATCAGAAGAGAATTAGAAACTGGAAACGTGCAGGGAGACACCCAGCCACAAGACCTTAGTGGCCTTCAAGACTGTGAAAGAGTTGCTGAAGAAAAGTATATTTCAGTGCTTCACGAGCTGTCAACAAGTCAAAATGACAATGCGCAGCTACAGAGCTCCCTTCAGGCTGCAATGAGCAAACTGGAGGAGCTAGAGAAAATGTGTGAAGTGCTGCAGGTTCAAAAGTTTGAACTCGTGTCCGAGCTGAATGCTTCAAGATCAGAATGGATCACAGCAACTAGTAAAATGGCAGAAGACGTAGAGAAACTTGTCAATGAAGTTAAAATATTAAATGATGAAAATGGCCTTTGTCGAGATGAGTTAGTGAAAGAAATGCCAGAAGGGGAGCTGGGTGAGCAACAACATGAAGAGGAGTCGGTGCCTGTAAAGCCTCTGGACGACAGTCATTTCTATGAGCAGTTGACATTGTCGAGCAAAGAAGTCCAAATGCACTTTGCTGAATTACAGGAGAAATTCTCGTGTTTACAAAGGGAACACAAGATTTTACACCATCAGCACAGTCAGATGAGCTCTAAGATGTCAGAGCTCCAGTCCTATGTTGACACGTTAAAGGCTGAAAATTCGGTCTTGTCAATGAGTCTGAGAAACTCTCAAGGTGACCTGGTCAAGGAGGGGATGCTGGAACCCGGGGAAGGGCATTCACTGTCACTGTCATTCTCTTGTGTGGCTGATAGCCCTAGCCTTACAAGTTTGGGAGAATCTTTTTACAAAGATCTTTTAGAGCAGATAGGAGAGACATCCCTTCTGAATAATTTAGAAGGGAGTGTTTCCGCAAACCAGTCCAACATAGAGGAAGTATCTTGCGGCAGCCTGGAGGAGGAGAACCTGACCTTGAAAGCAATCCCACCGGCCCCGGGGAACAGCACTGAAAAACCTGAGACCCTCTGTCAGATGTACCTACAGTCCCTCAAGAAGCTGGAAGAGAAAATGCAAAGTCAAGAGATGATGAAAAATAAGGAAATTGAAGACCTCAGACAGTTACTAAGTTCTCAAAGGAAAGAGCTCGACTGCCTGAGGAAGCAGCACTTGTCAGAAAATGAGCAGTGGCAGCAGAAGCTGACAAGCATGACTGCGGAGATGGAGTCCAAGCTGGCGGCAGAAAAGAAACAGACAGAAAACCTGTCGCTGGAGCTCGAAGTCGCACGAGTCCAGCTGCAAGGTCTGGACTTAAGCACTCGGTCTTTGCTTGGCACCAACATAGAGGATGTAAGTACATGGATTTACATGCTCTTTCTCTAATTACATGCCTGGTAGCCACTCGTGTAAATGTTTGTTGAACTGAAATCAACACTGAATCTAACTTAAAATACTCTGGATTCAAGGACATAAAAACAAAATACACCAATGTTATTGTTTAAAACAACAAACCAGAACTTTAGGAATGTGAGTAAACTTTTTTTTTGGGAGTGGTAAATTTCTGCAGTGATAACATTTTAACACTATTATATGGGAAATTACCAAAGGTATTTTTTAAAAGTCTCCTGGAGAAAACTATGATGGAGTCTGAATGTCATCTTCAGGATGTGTAGCATGTTTTCCTTTTTTATGAGTTAATAAAGCACACTTAAATATTAGAGCTTATGAATGCTAATGTGTTCGGAATTTTAACCAGTCTTGCCCAGTTCAGACTATTTTTAATGTTACAGGGTTACAGTCATTAAACAAAATATAGAACTTTATTACATATTAAGTTATTTCTAACAGTTTGCTCTTATTCAAATATATGATTTGGTATCAGTTGTTTGAAAAGACATTTCTTGATTGAATAAGAAACTGGATGGTTACTTATAACTTTGTCCTTCTAGTCTACCAGCTAAACCAATAATGCTGTACCATGGACGAGTGTCACTTCATTCCCTCTGTCTGTCCGTGTGAGGTCAGGGGGCAGGTGGTGAAGTGGCAGCATTTGTAGTCACAGCAGCTGGTCCCCATTTTGCAGATGAGAGGAAAGTGGCATGCATGTCCAGAAAGTGGAAAGTCCAGACATGCAATTTATCTAAGAATTCAGACAGTGCTGGCCCTGTGCTTAAGTCCTTGGGCTGGCAATCTGGTCACGAAACCTTACTGCCTTCTCTTCTTGAAGAATTTCAGAAATGCTGAATATGGCAGCTGAACATTTCCTCTGGAATCTGTTAGGCTCTTATTTGATAGTCACAAAGAGAAGTTTTATATTTAGGCTACCTGGAATATTCCTGGCAAGAAAAAAAACATGACATTTAAATGTGTCCCCGTGTAGATGATCAAATAACTGAAGGGTTTGGCTTCACAATCAATACCTTACCCAGGGCCTTGCTCATGGAGAACCCTTACTGAATGTTTGTTTGTGTTGAATATTTGGATGGAGAGAGGGGACTGTGGTGGGAAATGTGTCATTTGAAATGATGTGTTTAGCAGAGGCAAGAGGCTAGTTTCGATAAAATAGTATTTAAGCCTATTTCTTATATTTTGATTCATGTTAAAAACTAAAACACATTCTCGTTCTATGTTACAACTTCAGGATGATCAGGGTGGAAACGATGGCTGTGGCATAAAAGAATCAGAAGAATGTGCTTCAGAAACTAGAAGGAGAAAATTAAAGGAGCTCATTGATCATATTTTTGAAGAAGATGTTCAGCGACTCAGTCTAGAGATGGGGATAATAACCAAGACTAGTGCAGTTGAACTTGCAGGAGAATGTTCCAGGGAGCAGTCCCCAGAAACCAGTTATGAGACCCCAGTGGAAGACAAAATCCAGGACTTTGCAGAACGCGTTTCTGAATCGTCACTTTCTGGTCCTAATGCTTTGGTACCTGTAGATTTTCTGGAGAATCAGGTAACCATTCAGAATCTTCAACTGCAGGTAAAAGAGACATCAAATGAGAATCTGAGGTTGCTTCATGTCATAGAGGAACGTGACAAAAATGTTGAAATTTTGCACAGTGAAATAAAACAGTTAGACTCAAAACTCAATTTACAGGAAGTGCAACTAGCTACCAAGAATGAAACATGCACGGAATTAGAGAAAATTGTTGAGGAGCTTAAGAAAGAAAAATCAGATTTAATTGAAAAATTGGAATCCTTTTCTGGTGATCACAAGGGGTTCTACAAGAGAGTAGGAAGTTCGGAAGGCCTCGACTCCAGTTCAGAAAAGGGCACAAACAAATTGTCCCATGAAGTCACTGAAGACAGTGATGTCAAGGTGATCGACAACTGGAGAGAGAGATTTCTCGATGTGGAAAATGAGCTAAAGAGGGTCAAGTCTGAGAAAGGCAACATCGAGCATCGCACCCACTCTGTGGAAGCTGACTTAGAGGTAGTTCAAACAGAGAAGCTGTGTTTAGAAAAAGACAATAAAAAGAAGCAGCAGGTTATCACCTGCCTTGAGGAAGAACTCTCTGAGGTCACAACTGAGAGGAACCGCCTTCGTGGAGAATTAGATGCTTTGTCAAAAGAAAATAAAGAACTGGACCTGATGTCTGAAAAGATGAAGGAGCAAATACGAGATCTCGAATCCCATCGAGAGGAGTGTCAGCATCACATTGACGTGCTGGAAACCGAGGTGAAGGACAAAACACAGCTCCTTCAGACTCTGTCCTGTGATGTAAGCGAGCTGTTGAAAGAGAAAGCTCATCTCCAGGGGCAGCTGCAGAGTTTGGAAAAGGAGTCACAGGTACTGTCTTCAGTAAAAAGCGAGCTGGAAAACCAAATCGGACCACTGAAGAAAGAGAAAGAGATGCTTGTCGGGGAATCCGAAAGCCTGCAGACCAAATTACGTGAACTGGAACACGAGAAGTTGAACGTCGCCACGGCCTTGGAGACAGCCCTGATGGAAAAAGGCGAGGTCGCAGTGAGGCTGAGCTCAACGCAGGAGGAGGTGCATCAGCTGAGGAGTGGTATCGAGAAACTAAGGGTCCGCATCGAGGCCGATGAAAAGAAGCAGCTCCGTGTCGCCGAGAAACTGAAAGAAAGTGAGCGTAAGATTGACTCGCTTCAGGATAAAGTTGAGAATCTGGAAAGAGAGCTGCAGATGTCAGAAGAAAACCAAGAAACTGTGATACTTGACGCTGAGAATGCCAAAGCAGAGGCAGAGACCCTGAAAACACAAATGGAACTGATGACCGAACGCCTGAAAGCTTTCGAATTAGACCTTGTTGCAGTCAGGTCCGAAAAAGAAAATCTGATGCAACAGCTCCAAGAAAAACAAGGTCAGCTGTCAGAGTTAGATGTGTTACTCTCTTCATTTAAAAATCAGTTAGAAGAAAAGGAGCAAGAAAAAATACAGATGACACAACAATCTACAGCTGCAGCGGAAATGCTCCAAACAGAATTGAAAGAGCTAAACGAGGAAGTGGCAGCCTTATGTGACGACCAGGAGACCATCAAGGTCAAAGAACCACAGAGCCTGGGCTCCCCGGTGCATCAGCTGAGAAATAGCATCGTAAAGCTGAAACTCTACCTCGAGGCTGATGAAAAGAAGCAGGTCGACGCCTTAGGGAAACTGAAGGAAAGTGAGCATCATGCAGGTTTGCTTAAGGACAGAGTTGAGGATCTCGAAAAAGAGCTAGAGATATCAAGAAAAAACCACGAGTACGTGACTCTGGAGGCTGAGAATGCCAAAGCAGAGATGGAGACCCTAAAGGCAAAAATAGAGGAGATGGCCCCGCGTTTGAGAGATTTGGAATTAGATCTTGTCAGTGTGAGATCAGAAAATGAACACCTGACGAAAGAATTACAAAAAGAGCAAGGACGAATCTCCGAATTAGAAATATTAAATTCCTCATTTGAAAATCTCTTGCAAGAAAAAGAGCAAGAAAAAGTACAGATGTTAGAAGAATCTAAAATTGCAGTGGAGAGTCTTCAAAGGCAATTAAAAGAGCTAAACGAGAAGGTGGCAGCCTTGTGTGATGACCAAGAGACCTGGAAGGTCAAAGAACAGAACCTGAGTGGCCAAGTAGATTATCTTGAACTTGAGAAGGCTCAGTTGCTGCAAGGCCTTGAGGAGGCCAAAAGTAATTACGTTCTTTTGCAGTCTTCTGTGGATGGCTTCATTCAAGAAGTCGAAGATGGCAAACGGAAACTAGAGAAGAAGGATGAAGAAATCAGCGTATTAAAAAATCAAATTCAAGACCAAGAGCAGCTTGTCGCTAAACTGTCCCAGGTGGAAGAAGAGCAGCAAATTTGGAAGAAGCGAAATGCGGAACTGGAGAATCTGATGGTGGGATTGGAGCAGAAGATCCAAGGGCTGCAATCCACAAACAACACTCTGCAGGACACCGTAGAAGCACTGCAGAGTTCTTACAAGGACCTGGAGAAAGAGCTGGAATTGACAAAAGTGGAGAAAATATCCTTTGTCGAAAAAGTAAGTGGCTTTATCTATATCTGCATCTGTTGTCATGAGGGAGCGAAACCACTGTGTGAGTTGTATTTCCTTCTGGGTGTGTTTGCAGTCCTGGACCAAGTTTTGTAAAGGCTTGAAGGTTATGGGGTCTTGAGACTCTGGGGACACCGAGTTGGCTCTGGCAGTAATGACACTTGCTTTGTTTTGGCACACAGTTGCACGGGGCACTTCTGTGGGTTGGCCCAGGTTCCCGTTGTGGCACCGGGACATGGGAGAAGCTCTGGGTTATGCATACCTCCTGGTTCTGATTATGCTGCCATTTCTTGCATTACAGCAGAATAGTAGCCTCCCAGTACGCAGGTGCTCTCTGCTATAGAGAGTCTAGCAGATACTAGTTAGGGTCAGAAGGGATCCCCTTCGTCCCTGCCCTGCCTTTTTTTTTGCCTTTAGGAGAAAGAACTATTAAAGATAGTGATAGAATTGTCACCAACAGAACCCTCATTGGCTCCAAAGGGTGTGTCCTGGGGATTTTGTGCTTTCAGCTCCCCCTTTTGCACCTTCTCTTTGTGCCATCACCTGCTTTGTCGGCTGATGATTAAAGGGAAGATCTGCTATCACGAGGCTCAACTATTAATGAAAAATTAGGTTTTTGTCCTATATGCTTACTTACTGATCTAGGAAAGTGATTCCTTCAAATTAAAATTTTACTGGACAAATACTAAAAGAAAAAGGGAGTGTCTAGAAAATGCAATCTATCATAACTATATTCCAAGAATTTTAAGCTTTTGGATAGCTTGCAATAAATGGCAGTTATGGTGGAGATGATTAGAAAACCGATACCACAGTGTTTTGACTTCAGGGAGCAACTGCAAGTAATAGAGCTTTAACTGGATTTAACCGATCATAGGGGTGTTGCCTGCAGATTAGTACAGCACTGGAGGATTAGTAGAGATCCTAGAGCTGATAAAAATCCAAGACGCTTTCTCAAACAGTATTCTCTGATTTTTTTAAGTTTAATTCAAATTAATACCTTCATGAAGGATTTTAAGACTTAGTAATATTATCCTTCCTTGTCATTCCTTTCCTCATTGCCGTCTTTTATTCTTTGCTGAGACGAAAAGGTAAGCCCACCTATTGGTTTTGAGAATATTAGTTGAGTGGATTAATAGAGGGAGGCTTAGCCAGGTTCCATTGTATTATTGAAGGCCGAAGTGATGTCATGAATATGTTGCATTAGTGACTAACTTGGTCAAAACAGACACCCCAAAGCAGGTGCTAACAAAAGATTAAATTTCAGGTAACCGCAATGACTGCAAAGGAAGCTGAGCTGCAGGTGGAAATGCAGGGGATGGCGCAGAAAGCAACAGAGTTGAAAGAAGAATTTCGTAGGGAGAAAAACAGGCTAACGGAAGAATTAAATTCGATGTTGGAAGAAGCAAAGAGCAGCAAAGTAAGTTAATCTGTGACAGATTCATTAATCTGCTGATTCAGTGTGCATACTCTCCATATTTGTTTTTCTAAGACCTTCTGTAACGTGCCAAACTTTTTTTAGCTTTGGAAAAAAATAGCCCCATACTTATGTCCTGCTCAGACTTGCAGTAGCCTTCACCAGCCAGCCCTGTCATGAGCCCAGAAGGAGTCACTAGAGGGCTCTGAACACATGAACGTACCAGTCACGGAGCCCAGATAGTTTCTCATAGAAGAGGGCCCTTGTATTATAGTAACTCCCATCAGAAATAGATTTCAGGAGACTGCTTTCCCAGCCCACCACGAGTTACAAGCCAGAATGTTTCGAGACGGATGCATTGCTCTTGCTAAGAACTAACCAAATAACAGAAAGGAAGTCTCAGGAAAATGCAAGGCTGGAGCTGCCTTGGGCTGCGATATTTAGGGCAGGGTGAATGTGGCAGATCGATAGCATTTGGGCTGCCGCTCCCTGCTGCTGTTCCCAGAGCAGACGCTGCTGATGCGTACCGCCTCCCTTTCTCCTGAATCTCTTCATTTAACGCCGAGTCCCAGGTAGCAGCTGCCTCGTGTGCAGAGCTGACAGATACAAGGAAACCTGTTTGCCAAACCTAGTTAAGTGGTAAACATTCCTGTATCCATATATTGTCCTCGTGCAGTGTTACCACTAAGTAATACTTAGAAAAGGATAGCAAAGTATAGTGTGATTATGACGCTGAGTAATCACCAAAAGTTGCAATGATACTTGTAATAGCCTGTATAAGAAATTGGGGGTAATTTGTACTTTTTGTTAAGACTGCATTTAAGCTAATGAAAATTTAAGGTCTGCCTGAATTTAATCTCAGCAATTGACTTAAGAAATTTTCTGGCAATGCTGTGTGGAAGGAGTTTTTAGGGATAGTATCTTCGTACTGCGCCTGCTGAAATCTCCTTGGGTACTGAGCAGCTTGGGGCTATCCCAAGTATATTGTTATTTGTATTTGTATTTCACTTTTAGGCTCTACTGAAAAGAAAAGCGAGGTGTTCAGCCTCAAGTTCATACATATGAGTGTGTTAGTTTGCAGTGGCTTCATTCATTCATTCATTTTACAAATAATAAGCATTACTAAGGTCAGAGGATAGAATGTTGAACGCAGCTATTCTTTGGCTCTTGTACTCATAGAGATTACAGTCTAGACACACGAGAAATCATTAAACAGGAAACATGAAATAATAAGCTGTTAAGTGTTATAAAGGAAACAAGACTCTTGACTGGAGAATAATTGGCTAGTGGGGTGTGGGGAAAGGCAACCAAATTTGGATAGGTGATCAGAGAATGTCACCTGGAGGGTGAGACATCAGCCCTGCAAAGGACCGGGCAGAGATGGAGCCTTCTGGGTCTAGAGAGCAGTGTGGTCAAGTCGTTGAGATCGGAAAGATCTTTGTAGTTTGTAGACATTGGAAGGAAGCCATTGTGGCTGGAATCAAATGGAAAGCAATGGGAAAAAAGACTGGAACGGAAGGAAGGCCATGGTAAAGAAACAGAATAAAACCTAAAGTGACGCCAGATACAGGAGGCTGGAGTTTGTTTCAAGGTTCGGGGTGGATACGTTCATTTGGCTAGTTCAGAATATAGGTAGTATTTAAAAATTACAAGAGTGGTAGAAAATACAGACAGAGAAGAGACGGTGGCTCAGGGCTGAGCCCCAAGGACCTCCAGTCTGCAAGGTGAGATGGAGGAGAGGAGCCAGCGAGGAAAATGAGAAGACATGATGAGGCACACCAGTGTCGTGTCCTAGAAGCCAAGAGTGATGGCTGCCTCAGGACGGAAGGAGTGGTCAGCAGCTTCAGACCTGCTTAGAGGTCAGATGAGATGCAGACTGAGGAGTGCTCCTCAGATTTGCAACGTGGAGGTGATGACGCCATGAAAAGCTATTGCAGCAGGAGTTGGGACGAAATCAGGTTGGATCGCCTGAATGAACGTGAGATGCGGAAGTGGACAGAGCATGTACTCAGACACATAGAAACGGCCATTTGGGATCGGGCATGGAGAAGGCAGATGCCTTCAGGGCTGGGGTTCTGCCAGTCCTGCACAGGGAAGGCAGAGAGGGGCAAAAGGGTGGAGGCGCTTGGAAGGAAAGTCTTCCAAAGATAGGACATGGAAACTAAGTTGGTCTAGGAAGAAAACAGCCTGGAAGGGCTTGAGTGTGAAGGTCATGGTGGCAGGGCTGTTGATGAGGTCAAGGAATGATCGCAATGGGTACTTAAACAAACCTGGTGGCCCAGGAGGGTATGGTCCCAGAAGTTGAGGTTTCAGAGATCCCGTGGTCCCAGTGGATGTGACTTTGGGGGTGGCTAGGCTGGAGCAGAGGAAATTGTCACCAGAGACAAGGTCTCAATTGAATGTGAATACATTGCTGAGGATTATAACACTGTTGTATGTAGACTTTTGTCTTGCCTGTAAACTGTTTTTCCCCTGTCAGTACTCAGTATTTCCTAAAGATACAGACCCGGGTTCTTAATTCTTTTTCTGTGATTTTATTCCTTTTCTCATTAGGGTCAGTTGAAGGAGTTCATGCTAGAAAATAGTGAACTGAAAAAGAGCTTGGATTGTGTATGCAAAGACCAGATGGAAAAGCAAGAGAAGATGAGAGAAGAAATAGCTGAATATCAGCAACAGCTTCAGGAAGCTGAAAAGCAACACCAGGCTTTGCTTCTGGATGCAAACAAACAGGTGAAACATGGGGGTTGGTTATGGGGGTAGCTGGAGAGTGTTGTGTTGATCATAATGAAGCATGTTTTGCAAGAAGGTCAAAGTTCTGCATTATTATTGTGTTGTGTGACCTTCAGAAGGGTCCCATCATGTTAACTTCACTATCCTCCCGGTTACCTACACGTCTCTTTTTATGATGATTTAATTTTAAAAAATACATTTCCACCTTGAAGCAGAATAGTAAGAGTCTCAAGGACCGTTTGAAATGGTCCTTGGAACAGCAGTTTTATTTTTTGTTTGTTTTCCTTACAATGTTTGTAGCTGAGCCTTCTGGCTAAAGTACCATGTTTCTTCCCTAGCATGAAATGGAAATCCAGACATATCAAGAGCAACTGACTTCTAAAGAAGAATGCCTCCGCTCCCAGAAGGAGGAGATGGACCTCTTGAAGTCCAGTAAAGAGGAACTCAATAATTCTTTGAAAG